TTCATACAACTTTTTTATAATATATATATATATATATATATATATATATATATATATATATATATATGTGTGTGTATTATTTAGATACCAATATAATTTCATGTAAAAAATTTCATACATGTGTAGTGCAAATATTTATTGATATAAAATTAATTATTATTATTATTATTATCATTATTAATATTATTTAAGGATGATTGAGAAAAGTAAAAATGCTTACCAATGTTGGGGTACAATATTTACTAATACAATTTAAACATTAATATTTTTATTAAGCCAAAAATAATTTGCAAAAGCATTGGCATCTCAACGAGGTTCACATCCAAAATCGTAATTTTTTTAGACATTAATCGCTTTCAGTGTAATCCATGTATTCATCGTTATAATTTAAATATTAATATTTAATATAAAATATTCCGTTATGGTCTAATGTAAATATTTTTTTTTATTATTTAAATATTAATACCTTCTCAATATTCTCATACAAACTCGTCATCACCGTATAATGCGAATACTTACTTATTTTCAATTTTTAAAACTTTTATTTTATTATTTTGATATTTTTAGTTCTAACTTTTTTATTAACAAAAAAAAAAAGGAAAATGGACCCCACGTGCGTGTTTCTTCTGTTTTTGAAATGTGCCAACAGCTGGAATTGTGTTAAAGGGAGGAAGAAGAAGAAAGAAGACTTAGCTTACACACCATCTCATCTCATCTCATCTCATCATCTAAACCGATTCCCACTTTTTTTATTGTTTTTCTTTTTTGGTTATTCTCTCAGTTTCACATAACACAGCGTTTGGAAAGCGTTTCTCCGGAAGGTCTTTGTCGCTGGTAACAGAATAGCACAAAGTAACGGCTTTCGGAGTGGAGCGCTTGATTTGGTTTGGTGGGTCAACTTCAAGTTTCGATTTTGTTCATTTTTCTCTGCTCGCTTGAGTTGCAGACTCAGTGAGGGCTGCTTTGTGGGAAGGTTATGGCTTTTTGCCCAATTTTTTGTTGCGGAAATGGTTCGGATCGGTATGGCTATCATTCATTATTCTCTAATTTGTAATAATTTTTGTTATGGATCAGATATCACATATTTGTCTCACATCACTTTCAGATTTTCTTTTTTCTTTTTTTCTCTTTTGAGGGAAATTAATTATAGAGAGGGTTTTAGATTCTGGTTTAGCTCAGATTCTAGGTGTTACTCAAGCTGCTCTGTGTAACAAAACTACTAAAATTTAGTTTGGTTGGTAAAGTCTCGAGGGAATATAAAGAGGGAAGATTGTTACTTTGAGTTTCTTCTTAGGACTTAATTAACATAACATGCATGGTTAATCGTTCTGGGTATACCAAGGTGCCTGTTTCATCGATACCATGCCTGGAGAGTTTTTAAAGTATGGTTTTAGATTCAAACTCTTGTTTTAGCCATACTGAATTGATAGTTGATATTTGTCTCTTTCAATGCAGCAAAGGACGAGGGAAGAAACAACCTCCATGGAGAGTGTTTTCTTTGAAGGAATTACACTCTGCTACAAATAATTTCAACTATGATAACAAGCTTGGCGAAGGAGGATTCGGCAGTGTTTACTGGGGCCAGCTTTGGGATGGATCACAAGTAGGACATTAATTTGTTTTTTTATTCTTTATTTCATCTTACCAAATCACCTTTGGTTTATGGTTATTCTTGATCATTCTAGTTTTGATTACTATTACAGAGTTCTTTGTAATGGTTAATTTAGTTAATTTTGACACATTTTTTTTTAAATCAGCAAAGATTTAATTTAACACAACAGTGTGTCTCCAAATATTATGGCCAGTTGATATCTAAGAGGCATGTTGGGATCTGCTTTGACAGATTGAAAGATCTCACATAAAATTTCCTGTCTTTCTCAATCTTGAATGATTCTTAGTGATATGGTTTTATCATGTAATACTGAGAAGGACCATATTAAGAAGGATTTGTATGGAAGTTATTTTAGTTTCAATGAAATTAGGAATAAGAAAGAAAAATAACCTAAATATGGCATCTCCACTGGATTTTTTTTTCTTTTGCCGCAATCCTTCGATGTAAAAACATAATACTTATAATGATTTGTGAGTGAACATAAAACAACTTGATGTCTTAGCTAGTTCCTAGTGAGTTTTTTTGTGCCCCCGTTAATTTCATTCTTAACTCTACTATTGAGCTAGGATGATTATTGCTTATATCTTCTAATAGTGATCTGTTACGTAATGGATGATTCTTTTGACTTATTAACTTTGACTTGACCTGATAATGCAATTTATAAAACACGATCACAAGTTTCAGCTGCTAATGCTGCTAAAGCCTCTGATAAAAAAACATTTTAGCTGGTGCCTGTGAAATGAACCTTATGTAAACTTTTTCCTTTTTCCAAGATATCTTCATAATGGCTGTTTTCAATTCTATTTATGTTGATGTGTGTACACATGCAGATTGCAGTGAAAAGATTGAAAGTATGGAGCAACAAAGCAGACATGGAATTTGCTGTTGAAGTTGAGATATTGGCTAGAGTACGACACAAGAATCTTCTCAGTCTACGTGGCTATTGTGCTGAAGGTCAAGAACGGTTAATTGTGTATGATTATATGCCTAATTTGAGCCTGCTCTCTCATCTTCATGGACAGCACTCAGCAGAATGCCTTCTTGATTGGAACCGGCGGATGAATATTGCAATTGGGTCTGCTGAGGGAATTGCGTGAGTGCCCATGACTTTTCTTAAGACAAAACTTAAATGTAATATCATAGGTGTTATTGGTATTGTTCTCTAATCAAAATTAAATGTTTATTTCAGTAATATGCACCGACATTTAATGAAATTCTTTGTTACACATATTACTTCAGAGAAACTCCAATTTTGATTAGAGAATGATGTTTTACTGGATCTAAGTTTTGTCTCTTTTGTTATTCCCTTTTTGCCTTTATCACTACATTAACACTAGAATTTGATTACTTGTAGATATCTTCACCACCAGTCAACACCACACATCATCCACAGAGATATCAAGGCAAGCAATGTGTTGTTGGATTCGGATTTTCAGGCCCGGGTAGCTGATTTTGGTTTTGCAAAGTTGATCCCTGATGGGGCAACACATGTGACTACAAGAGTTAAGGGCACACTAGGTTACCTTGCACCAGAATATGCTATGTTAGGTAAAGCAAATGAGAGTTGTGATGTCTACAGTTTCGGAATTCTCCTTTTAGAACTTGCTAGTGGCAAAAAACCACTTGAAAAACTTAGTTCTACAGTGAAGCGATCAATAAATGATTGGGCACTGCCACTGGCTTGTGAGAAGAAATTCAGTGAACTAGCAGATCCAAAACTTGAGGGTAACTATGTGGAGGAAGAGCTTAAAAAAGTTGTTTTAATTGCTCTGGTATGTGCTCAGAGTCAACCAGAGAAGAGACCTACCATACTTGAGGTGGTAGAGTTACTGAAGGGAGTATCCAAAGAAAAGTTAGCTCAGCTGGAAAATAATGAACTCTTTAAAAGCCCTCCAGCTGTAGGACATACTGAAGATGGGACCCTTGCTGCTGAAGGCAGCTCAGATTTCATCTCAGAAGAGAAGGAATCAAAACCTGAGTTGGAAGAGAATACTGAGCCATGAACTGTGCAAGAGAGATTGAACTATGGATTTGATGTTAAATACAGATTGTGACTCTGCAGGATTGCCTTTTTGTATTATGATGTTTATTAATATTACTTGTGCAGTGTATTAGAGAGGCGACTGCATGTGTCTCCTTCCCATAATATGAATGTGGATATGAACCATGCAGAATTGCTGAAAGTCTGGAACTAGGAATTTGATGTTAAATACACAGATTGTGAAGTTTCCAAAAATTTCAACTTTTTTAATTGTTTGGAAACACTTTTTTAGAGGGTGTTATTTATTAAACGTGGATGCTGTGCAGAGCCGTTGTCTAGGCTGTACGGTCCTAAATTGTGTCCCATCCCTAAAAATCAAACTCGATGTGATAAAGCACATATTACGGCCATGTTAGAATATATTGAGATCCTTAGTTTGTATGGAGCCATATAATATAAATTATTAAATGTATGTTTGTATCACTTTTTTCGTAGTGACGGTGTTATTCATTCAGTTTATTATTTTTTTCGAAAATACACTTGATTTTTAATTTCATTGTTGAATTATGATTCAAAATGCGAGAGCCAAATTCTTATTTAAGTCGTTACAATTGTAGAACTTGAATCATATATTTATAAGAATAAGAGTTTAGAGTATTACACCTTTAGAATTTGTCAGGTAGTTACAACTAACAAGATTAAAAAAATAATAACGACCATTATCTTGAAATATATACTATTTACTAGATCACATACTCTTCTCCAATCACGTCCTTTCCTAATTTGCTTAAATATATTTTAATACAGTAAGTGTAACTCCAATTTATGTTTATAAAATAAATTTATTATAAGTTGCTATAATAATATTCCGATCTAGACCCTTAACCCGATTAAACCAATCACCCGAGCTTATAATCCAGTTACGGTCCGGGATATATAATTAAGGAACTAATAGCAACTAGTAAAGAAAATCAGGCCAAAAACTAAAATTTTGTAATTGCCTTTGCTTGGCCAAATACTTCTAGTGGTAGGAATGCAGAAGCCGATAACTGTAGTGTAAAATTGATGGTAATTATTTACAACGTTATGATACCGTTAATACAAAATCCCTAGGATTAACAAACAACAGATGTTACAACATATTCTGACAAATTTCAAAAACAATTGGACCGCAAACAAAAAATATTTTTATATCAAGAGAATGTATCCTCTCGATCTCCCTCAGCAATTGTCTCCCCCTCCTCCATATTGCTAAACTCCAAGAAATGGGTTGGTCTATGGTCCTCGTGGTAATATTCCCTAGGAGTTCCCAGCTTCACTCCATATTTCATCCCGGACGCATGTCTCACCCCCATGAAGTTGTAATTCCATGGACCATTATCAGGAACCTAAGAAATTGTAGCAAAAAAAAAAAAGAAAGAAAGAAAGAAAAGTCAATCAGTACAATAATAATAATAACCATAATTTTAATAAGAATATATAATCATTTTTAAAAGTAACGAATTAGTATAATTATATAACACATCAATATCAATCACGCAGACAAACTACTGTACAAGTTTGAGCAGGAAGAAAGGTGTTACCATGTAGAAACCAAGGAAGCGATCGCTAAGGAGCATCTGAACCTTCTCATAATGAGTAGGAAGGTAACCATGTGGATTGCTTCCCGTATCCTTGTTGACACGCCCCCATTCATAACCAGATGGAGTGAGTTTATATGCAGTTAAAGAACAAGAACCAGGAGTAAAGCTGCAAGTCAATATAATACATTTCTCCCCATCCCATTGCTTATTGTTCTCAAGGATCTTGGCATGTGAAGTGAGATCCTGCAATAATCATTTTCACAGGTGAGACAGTGTACCATGAATCATAAACGTATTTCCCTGACAAGCAAGAGGTAGAGGGAGGGGCAATTGTTTCAAAAACTATCATATTCCAAAGGGAATTAAAACCTCCCTCTGTCTTGTAATCGTATTAAAAACAAAAGAAATTGAAAACTGAATCAAGCAAAACCTGAGGTGACAACTGTGGAAGTTCATTCGGTTGCGTATGCATCCATCCCAAGGGCTCTAAATCATTCAAGAAATCATGCTCTGGAAGGGCTGATGGCAGATGAACTTGTTGATGAGTCCCCCATTGTGGTGCCATCACAATGCAGCGAATTTCTTTCACCTGAGGATTGTCCGGAGGACTTATGCCATACATGTACCCAGCAATCTGGGTTCGAAGATCTGCTATGCAAATAAACTTTTTCAAAATGTTCTTTGGCATAATATAGGTGTATCCAGTTTCCTGCACCACAAAATCTGATATTTAATATCTGACAGGAACTACAAGTGTAACAGGATTGCCAAAAATAAAGAATAATATCCAAACCTTTATATCCTCAGAGTTCACGTATATATGGTTCACACGAAGGTATAGATTCGTGGCTGATATTGCCCTGACACGCCAGTCAGTCTTGGAACCAAAAGCAGCTTGCTCATAAGGACTAGTGGTGGTTACTATAAGCTCTTCACCATGAACATTTGTAGTCTTCGTTGTCACAGCTGTCACCTGATTGGCTTCATGAGCCTGCAAAATAATAAGTACAAAAACCAGGTAAGTAATTAAAAAACAAGAGGGTGAGAAAATCAAGTCCATGCAATGAAAAAGCAATTAAAAGGGAAGAAAAAAATAGTATTAAATTTTATGTTCGAGGCAGAAAAGATAATATTAACCTGTTTCTCAATCTCTGCAATCTGTTGCCGCTGTTGAGAAGGTGGAGTAATCTCAGCTCCAAGTATAATATCACGGATCTCAGACTGAGTCAAAGCTGAAGTATTCACATTGTTTTTCTTGGCATAATCTGAAAGTATAAGATCTCTTAAAGCAACCTCCACCTGTCAATTTATCAAAAGGGTTGGTTATGTAGCAATTATTTCTAAAAATCTAAAAATTGATACAGTATTGTATAAAACATCAGAAAATTGCAAATGAAAATTAAAGCTACCTTCATCCACTGGTCATCACTTAAAGAAGGCCAGATGTGATGAGGTTCAGTGATGATAGTTTTATCAGGCTTCAGCAACATTTTTGCCTTTTCATTATTCACATGAAGTGCTCGCAGAATCAGAATTAGCCTGGAGAATGCAGTGTATGAAGAAATACTCTTCAACCAGTCATCATAGATGTTGAACAAAACCATCTGTGGTTCAGTGGCCTTCAAAATAAGGTCTCCAAATTTCTCAATTTTCAAACATGCCTGGAAAGGAAGTTGCAGTTCACTTCCTTTAATAACAATGTTAGGAAAGTCCAGCAAGTGAACCTCCAATGGATCCAACATTCCTTTACGAGTGACAATTATTTGCTTTGGCTGTTCTTCTACAGGCAAAGACCTTACAAGAGCAGCAACTTCTTCTGCTGTTTTCCACTTAGCCAACTGCCCGAGACGCTTCTGACCAGCCCACACACTAGTATGAATAACCTACAAGGTAGGATAAGAAAGATCAATAACTAGACAACAAATGTTTGAAACACCTCAGTAAGAACAAGAGAAAGTAAACAAACCTTAAGAAACAACTGTCCAGTCCTTGGATTGAAAATAAATATGGCACCATTGATGGGCTTTGTTGTAAGATTTCCTTCAAAAGTCTTGTGAATAGTAACACGATACACATTTGTGTCATCAACAAACCATATTATTTGGTTGCTGAATATCTCTCCATAGTTTTGGGAAGACAAATATGGTTCAGTGGGCTCAGAAGAGTACAACTGCAAACCTTTCCTGATCCGTTCCCTCAACACATAAAGTGCAGGATTTGACTGCATATGCACAACATTATTAGAATAACACAATCACACTTGTTTCAACACTACAGATACCGCTTAGTGGAGACGGCATTAATATATATTAGAACAGATCATAATCACAATTTTTATACCCAAAAAAATAACTCATGTATCTAAGTGATATATAATTTCATAACAGACTTCTGATGTATGATGGTTTATTTACCTTCATGATTTTATTCATGGCCTGCTGAAGTAGTGGTTTTGACCCAGGGAACCAGTTCCCAAATGCAGAATGCAAATTATACGCCAAATCAATGCCAATCATTACACCTGCATGGAAAGCAATGATGTAGTCAGCTCTACAAATAAAAAACCACATAGGGGAGAATAGTAAAATGAAGGAGATATACCCGTAGGAGATGGATATATGGACATATTATCTGTTGTGTAGTCCATAAATTTGGCCCGAGTGTAACGCTCAATATCATGAGAGTCATAATCACCCCATCGCAGCTGAACATCAATCCAGTACTTATTGCTTGCCTTCTGATCAAAAACATCCTTAGACTCAGCTACAAGACTAGGCTTTGACATTGGCCATCTATGGGCAGCAAAGAGAAGAATGTCTGCACAGGAACTGTTCATCTTGTAACTCTTCCTTGGATGGATTGTTTCCTTCTGAACAGTTTCAATCTCCAAAGCATCCAACTCTTGATCCAAAACCTGACAGAGATCCATTACAACACTCTCATGGATCTTCTGCCACAAGTGAGCTCGGAATATCTGAATGAGGGATATCTTCAAGGTTGGTATTTTTCCATGCATGAAAATACCAGTCAGATCCAACTGCACTTGGAAACCGACATAAACATTGGCTCGATTAATGGTTGGTGACCACCAAAGTGTAAACCTTCGGTTGGGTATCTGGTTGAGACCAGATCTCTGAGCATTGGTGAGCTTCTTGTACTTCATAGATTCCTCAAAGCCAGATGCCTTTTCCCAGAAAAGACCTTCCCAAGTTGGAAAACTAACAGTGAAAAATAACAGCAAGTCAATTACAGCTTTTTCCACAGTAAACACACAATAGCAAGAGTTACGTACTAAAAAGAATACCTGAATTCAAACAGCAAAACAAGCTCAAAAAAAAAGAGTAAAACTTACTATGTTCCTTTGAATAAAGTATGTTCAAGAATTCCTTCAACTCCTCCAAGGGCTTGGATAACATCAGTTCGGTAATTGTTCAAGTTCCACAATTTCCCATCATGCCTCTGATGTGTCCACCAGAAGGGATTTTGTTTCAGAACTTGGTACTGTTTGAAATCAGTACGCACCCTCCATCCTTTGTCATAAGCCAAAGTGTGCCTATCCTTTTGAAACAAAGTATTTATACGTGGTATTCCTCTATCCCATGAATCCTGCAGAACAGATCAACAATAACTCATTATGTACGTAAGTAGATTTTCCACAAAGAAAAACACAGGAACATTGCCACTGTATTATCCAAACAACAAAACCCACATATTAGGATCATTAAAAAAGCATCAAAAACTCACTTCCAGATCTTCAAGGGTCAAACGTCTGTTTTGGGCCTGTGCTTCCTGTCTTTTCAATGCATATTCAGCCCAGACACGCTGTGAATCAATGAACTCACTCTCCCAAGGCTGCATGATCAAAGAGACCATAAAAAGTTATGA